ATTCCAATGGGGGGTTTCCGTGTGCAGAAGCCATAAATTAATGGAAATATTATAATTAACAATCACATAACGTATAATTGACGTATGTTTCCACAAGTGACAACAGTTCATTATTCAAAAGCTAAAATGTTTTTTAATGTCTCTGTAACAATACTGCAAGATTTATAAAATCTTAATATGTTCTCCGTAATATGTATTATATATATATTACAATTTCCTAATACCTACGATGTTGCAGCGATATTATAGCGCAATATTGTAACATTTCTGCAATGTTACTGTAAGTTTCTGTGCTATATGAGTGACAAAATTAACGGATATTCTCACGTTTCAAAGTTATTGTAATCTGTAGATGTCAAAAAACGGTCTTTTATTTTTAGAACATCTTAGAAAATTCTGCCATGATAGACATTTTTATGGTTAGATTCGGGTTCAACGCAAAAAATTATGTTGGAAATCACTCCTACATCTTAATGTAGGAATGATTTCCAACATTTTTTGCACTGAATCCGAATCTAGCCACAAAAATCAATCTTCGTAGATCTATATAATTTATTAATAAAAAAATTGGCATTAGATTAAATTTGCTTGCATTGTTAAGTATTCTTTGCTAGAGTTAAGAAATGAAAGAGTGAAAATATGTGTGAAATTATAAAAAAATAAAGATACAATACTCAATTTATGCAATTTTTTCGTTTTCAATAATAATATTATTCAAATTTTTGTGCAAATCATATAATAATGTATAAATATTGTAAAAGCTATGAAAAACTTACCGTCTTATCTACAACTGGGATATTTGGAAATATCACATCTTGAAGTTCGTGCATAAGATCTATATTTATACGCTCCAATGGAGAGTCGGATTCTTCAGGGGAACTAGGGCTTAAAGGTGAGTACTGTTTTCTACTGTAATAAAAATATATGTAATAAATATAATGCAGTTCAATTACATTAATTTACAATAAAAAAATTACTTCGAACCTTCTAACAAGGGAAGTATCACAACTGTCCGGAACCGATTTGATTCTTCATGAAATATGTAAAACATTAAAAACTTATTGCCTCGGCCGGGATTCGAATCCGGATCTCTTGCATTGCAAGGCAATATTTTTCGCAATAAGTTTATTATAGTTTTTTAAGATTAAGTTTGAGAAATTTGGGGGGATTATTAATATTTCAGGTTGATAATATTTCACGTTGAAAGTCCGACAATCATATCGGCACACAATTATAATTTTTGAAATTAATTCATTTAAATGAATATGTATAATAGTTCAACATCTTAACATTCAGATCGTAGTGACACTTCGTATTTAAAGCATCTTTCCGTCGAATATGGCCAACCCTGTATATATATATCTTAAAAATATTATATATTTACAAAATCTAAATACATATGTAAAAAACTGTACAAATTTTGCTGAAGACATCTTTTCTTATATCTTATCTTTGTTCCGACGACAATTACTTTCACATATGAGCATGGATAGTGTATATATGGAAGCGTTAATAATTAATTCTCGAAAATGATATGTCGTACTATAACTTTATTACACATTGTTGAATTTGTAAAAAAATAATCTTTAATTTGGTAGAAAAAAAAATTAAAAATTAAAAAAAATTACGGGTGGTGAGGTTTGTTAAACAAAAAAATAAAAAAAATTTTTTGTTCTTTATAACTTTAAAGTACTCTTGAAATCGTACATTTTATTTAGAAATTTTTTTTCTATTTTTTATACTCCCGACGATATTCGGCTCAAAAGAAAAATACCGTTTTTTTAAAGGAGTGTTTCATCCTTTAAACATGAGTTAGCACACGTAAAAAAAAGTATGTGTATCTCTTCGATTTTCGTGTTTTACAATATATTTCATGGAGAATCAAATCGGTCCGGACAATAGTGATACTCTTGTAAGTATTTCATATAAATTTTTGAATACTGAAAACGATGCTATGAGTAAAAAAATTTCAATACGTTAGGTTTTTTCAAATAATAATTGGGGTTCAAATGTCCAAAAATGGTATTTTTAATGATATTTGACATTTTTTTTATCAAAGCCGCATCAATTTGTAAACTGAAACCCATATTTTTCATTGCCTACTTTTGTAGCTTATCTGGAGAGAGCTCTTCAAAATACTATTCCAAACACTATATATAAAATACTTTTTCATTAAATATTTTTTGAACTAGGAAGCTTAAAAGTTACCGTACTGCCAGCATTAGAACATTATCTAAGATGTCCAACAGATGATTAACACTTTTTAAATGTTGTTCAAGATCATGACTTTCATAACATTTGATAAAATCAAGATCGTATTCTTGGTATTTTCATTTTTACTTTTTAGTATAATATAAAAATACACTTCGTAACAATGGCGCTACAAGATTAGTATAGGGATTTTAGGTAGCATTAAGTTGCACCTTTTACACTCATTGCACTTTTAGTTCTGTTATACATTTAGATAGATCCTATATAATTTATGTTCTTTTTTACGATCGCCACTTTTGTCGCATCTTATATATTCTCTCTCTGTATTTCCTCGGAAGAGTATCGTTCTACAAGAATAAAGACTTTGGATATTACATTAATTTTTTCATTATTACCGGACATTATCGGGTAATACAATACATTCCTATAGCCTGGTGACTCCGACGTGATTGTTTTCAAGAAATGCAAGGGCACATTCGTTTTTAGTGTGTACCCTGAAGAATGGTTTAAAAAATGAATGGACAGTAAGCGTACATTGAGATCCGAATATTCTTACGATCCAGCAAAGACCTACGCAAGGGCAATGACGTAGTACATTCTCCAAAGAGCGGATACATTAATCGAGGCAGTCAAGGCGAGATTACGAGACAAGCAGAGACGAACCTCATAGAGTTAGAGAACGATGAGGATATACAAAGGCACAAGAGGTCTAACTATCATCATTTTGAAGAAAAAAACGAGCAATAGTACGATCCAGATACAACTTCCGAAAATCGTTTTTCAGAAACAGTGAACACAGAGAGATTAACCTGTTAAAATCGCGGAACCAGCATCGGACGAACTCATATTTCCCTCCCACGGTAAAAAACGCGACCGAGACATTCGTATACCGAAGCTACACGTAAAAACATAGAGTAAAATTACGTAAATTTCAATCCGAAAGTAATGTACAGGCATGGTTTAAGATCGCGGAGAGCAAGTTCTTAGAACGAAATATTTCCGAACCGGAAAAATTTACCGCATTAATATCCAGCCTAAATGATGATGTTTATGACAGCTTGAAAAATGTAATTGCCAGACTTCCTTCCGTGAACTGTCACTCTAAGCATTACTGATCGAATATTATTCTTTAAGGAATTTACACGAAGACAAAAATTACGGAAATTACTATTCGGTTTATCAGTCTTCCGGTTACTTGCGGAAATGCAGTCGTCCGTCAAGGAAGATTTGACGATGAAGATCTAAAAACCCTCTTTCTCGAATATTTATCTAGCGATATGCGAATGACGCTACAAGTAGTTCTCGACAATGTAGACGCGTTGGCAGCAGTAGCGGACAAAATAGAACATCGACCATCAAATGACCGTCAAGAAATAGCGATTCAAAAGCTAGAAGATGACATCGTCAAAAAGTTCGGGGAGATCACAAAGCAGTTAGATCAAATGCAAGCGCGTTTCGAATCAAGATCGCGTTCACGTTCGCATTCGAACGTTCAAGAAGATCATCGAGGGATTCCTCGCGCAGCCAATCCTACGGATCAAAAATTTGTTTTTACTACCGACGATTTAAAAAAAAGGCAGAGAAATGTCGAACTGCAATTGAACACAGAAGAAACAAGCTCTACAAATGACGGAAAACTAATGCAGCCGTCGTTGGTTTCGGCGATAATAGACGGCACGCATTCCTCCCGACTTTTTATTATGGACAAAGTATCTGGACTTCGTTTCCTTAATTCAACAGCGGATATTTCGGTCATCCCACCACGTCCTTCAGATTCGATTAAAAGCGCGCAAGGGAATATTATATGCCGTGAACAGAGCGCATATCAAGACTTTTGGGAAACGAATAATGTCTTTAGATCTCGGACTATGCCGACCAATCCGCTGCGTCTGTCTCATCGCTCGAGTGCCGTATGCGATTCTGGGAGCCGATGTTCTATATCAGTATAATCTCAAACCCAATCTCCATTTAAAAAGTCAATGGGTCAGTCTTCTACATATAATCAAGAAGAAGAATGGCAGCTGGCGTTCGTGCGGCGATTATTATCATTTAAATGCACAAACATTACCCGACAGATATACGATCGCGCACGTTCAGGATTTTTCATCGATTCTGCATGGAAAAATTATTTTCTCTACAATTGACTTAGCCAGAGCTTATCACCAAATACAGTCGCAGATGCAGACATCCCCAAAACTGCCGTCACAATCCCCTTCGGCTTATTTGAATTTTTAGTGATGTCTTTTTAGACTCAGAAATGCATCACAAACTTTCCAGTGCTTTATCAATCAAGTGCTGGTAGATCTCGATTTTGTTTTCGCCTATGTCGACGATATTCTCATCGCATCCTTATCCGTGCAGGAGTACAGACAACATCTTAAGAGAGTCTTCAGCCGACTGAGGGATCATGAAGTATTCATTAACATTGATAAATATAAATTCCAATCGGAGTCGGTAGAATTTCTTGGATTCCAGTAAAGGATCAGCACCATTACTCAGCAAAGTCAAAGCCATATTCAGCTGTAAAAGACCAGAAACGGTTCAAGAGCTCCGCAGATTTTTAGGGACAGTCAATTTTTATCATCGATGCATCCTGAACGCGGCATCTATCATTAAACGAGTATCTCAAAGATTCTGAGAAGAAAGATAAAAGGCTCATCAATTGGACAACCGAGACTATCAAAGCTTTCAATAAAGTGAAACGAGACTTAACAACATTATTAGCTCATCCAGCTCCAAATATCAAAATGCGGTTGATAACAGATGCGTCAGAAATAGCAATGGGGACTGTGCTGGAACAAGCCACCGATCGCGTTAACTGAGAGCTCTTCTACTAAAAAAAATTCTTACTGATACAAGTAAACTACTACACTTACGATAGAGAATTAACAGCAATTTATCACGCCATACAATTTTTTAGACCTTGGATTGAAGGTTACATGGATATTGAAGTCAGAACGGATTACAAGTCACTGACGTATGCATTTTTGCAGAAATCAGACAAGGCAACTTCGCTAATTCAACTTAATTAGCCAATTCACTATGAAGATCACATACATTCAAGGGAATATAGTAGCCGACTCTTTTTCCAGGATAGATGCATTTAGACTTCCTTCAATCATCAATTTCGAAGAACTATTAAAAGCACAGCTGGAGGGCGAGGAACTTATAGCAATTTTACAGGACAACCAGATATCGCTTAAATTTCAGAAACTTACTTTTAGTTCCGAGCATCAAGCACTTTATTGCGACGTTTCAACTCACGATATACGCCTCTTTGTCCCTAAATTATTTCGATGTAAAGTATTCGACACTTTTCACAACCTCAACTATCCAAGCGAGAAAATCACTACAAAACTGATCAGATAATTATCAAAATAAAAAACTCAATTTACCATTGACCCTACTAAAATGGCCATCTATGAGAAAAGACATCAGAGAGTGGGCTAAGACCTATCTGCAGTGTCAACATGCTAAAATAGGACGTCACGTTCATTTAAAACCAGAGACTTTTTACACTGATTCACGTTTTGATCATATTGATATCATTGGATCAATGATTTCCTGCGATGTATATACTTATTGTCTCACCATAATAGACAGATTTTCAAGGTGACCGGAAGCTATACCTATCAGGAATCATCAAGCAGCAACGGTAGCAAAAACCTTTTTCATTCATTGAATCTCTCATTTTGGAT